TTTAAAATGGATTTTGAGAACCCCTACAAAAATGTACGCTAACCAAAATAATATAGGTACTATGACCCAAATACCATTTAGCGCTTGTCTACAAATGACGTAAATTACTTGACTACAGGATTGAATTTTACCTTAAATATATTAAGTTTACTACTGTTTTGGTAAGACAAGCACTTAAGTGGCATTTGGCTAGAGACCTTATTGAAGAGATATTGAACAACAAGTAAGAAGCAAGTACCTACCCAAAATATACAACATGGGTCTGTGCTTTAACAACAATAATAATAAAAAATGCATAACTTTATATATGTTACAGTTTATTTCTGAAAAAATTAGTTCCTTTTTTTTACAACAGTTTCTTTCCCTGGTGCTTTCTTGTCTGAGAAAAGTATATACAACTGGTAGCCGTTTTTAATTATTTTTTGCACCGCTCGCAAGCCGTCTTCCTGTAAATCAGTATAAAATTTATAGCAAATATTAAATCGATTAACCCTTAAAGTTATGTTACATCGCATCTTTTATTAAAAATGATAACTCTTTGCGCAATCTGGACATCAAACTCTGATTCCTCTAGCCGGCTGTCGCAACTGTGACCTCTTTATCGAGACAGTTTCGATGAGTTATGCAAATACATTTATTTATTACTAGCTTCGCACGGGTGCAATATGCATGTATTATACATATAAACCTTCCTTAAGAATACGTCTATCTATTAAAAAAAACTGCATCAAAATCCGCTGCGTAATTTTAAAGATCTAAGCAAACATGGACAGACAGACAGCGGATAGGTACTTTGTTTTACTATGTAGTGATATGAATTAATGAAAAAATATTTAGATACAGGTTAAATTTACTGTAAATAATTCACTTACAACATAATTGATTTTAAATAAAAATTTTAAAATGAAACCGCATTGCTACTAAGGAGCGTACTGCATAACTTGTATCCACTGTGGTTGGGCATGAGATGCAACAACGTATTCTATTACATTACTGGTTTAAAACATATCTCTGATTTAGTGGAGTTCGGCCTTAAATTAAGTTGAATGAAATTAGAAACAAATTATAGTCTCGTCCATTCCATCATCGTACCACAAGACAATCGGGAAAGCGTCACGGATTCATGGATGATGTCCCACCCACACGCACGAAGCGCTTCGCATCAAGCTTCCTTCATCACGGAGTGGAATTTTTTGCCAAATTCTGTATTTCCTGATGGCTAAAACCTGGGTGCCTTCAAGGTCCGAGTGAATAGGTTGCTTATGGGACGACGTCCTCCATCGTAGACCGCATCACCGCTTACCACCAGGCGAGATAGTGGTCAAACGTCGGCACATCAATTATATAAAAAAAACATATACTCACTATTAATATAAATATTTTCGGTAGTCCAGCGACATTGACCTCATTGTTTTGCTTGGTCTTAGGAGTTGGAGCTGAGTCTGAAGCACCTGCGAAAAGGGCGACCACCGCCAACACGATCAATGCCGTCAGTCTCATTTTAGGCTTGGTTTCTGCTACTCTGGTATGTTTACGAAGCAAATTGCAAATTGGACTGTGACACAGCTCATTAGCCCCTGGTTTATATACACTTACCATATTATAATTGTTTTTATTTTAGCTTTCCCTATTTGGTGTAGGGACATGTATGTATAATTTAATTTACTGTTAGGATGAGTCATGCTTATTTGCCAGTCTCCAAAGTTAGGTTACGTTAATAATATTTACCAAATAAAATATAATAATGTTACAAATAAGGTTTTAAGGAAATTTTATATGTACCTAAGTACCAACAATTACGTGCCTCTTTGTGTGTAAGAGAAAGCATTAATTACTAATTAAATAAAGTAATATACTTATTATACGTCTGAGCTTCCGTACTGCAATTTCCGAGGCTTTGCTAGTCTTTACAGCACGTTTTTGTGAGATTTCACTCCTTTTTGCAGAAAGTTGACTTCCTACCAATATTAGGAATGCGAAACTTTGTGGGGATGTATGTGTGTGTTGTTACTCTTTCACACCAAAGCGGCTGAAGAGAATGAGATGAAATTTGAAACAGAAGTAGATCGAATAGAACACATAGGCCTTTATATTCCACGGGATCGCGGGTAAAACCGCGGACAGAAACCAGTTATCTATGTTTTTAAGGGACAAGCCCGCCACAACCTCCTCAAACCGCTGCAACTGCTGAAAGCCAGGATCTACAGTAGATACAACCATGAAAACACCGGAAGTCTGAAGTCCGGCGCGTCCCAGGGACTTGAATAACTGTCTTGGTTCCCGCAACGAAGTGAATCAGAAGATATTATAAGAAGAGAAGAAAAAAAATATAGTTTCCACTTTCCTCGGTGAATTACTGCAGGAGACAGAGTGAATTAAGCCTAAAGGCACATAGAAAAGTGACTGTACAACTGGATGAAGCCCAGTCGCCAAGCACCACGGAAATTTGACTAAAACCTAAGTGGGTCCTATGTATGAGCTGTTTTACTTGCTTCCAGTAATAGGTATGGCAAAAGCGCCTAAACGCACGGAAATTTGTTCTGTCAATCAGTCAGTTCAGTTCAGTCATCAGTTATCTATCTATATATAAATATGAATCTCTATATCCCTTGGTCACGCCATCATATGTGAACAAAAAGACCGATTTCACAATTTGTTTATTTTTTATAGTCAGGAGAGAGTTGAAAATTATTAAATATTTTTTTTTAAAATGTTACGTGCTCACATAGGCTACTGTTATCGTTCCGAGGCAGGTCTGTTAGGGGACCCAGTGTCCCCTATAGGCACTAAGTGACACCGAGGTGGTTTTAGTGGGATAAAAATCCCACACAATCCTTTTAAGGGTTTCCTTCCGTAATAAAAAAAAGGCTAATTTTTATCCCACCGGACACGCGAGCGTGGCTACTGGCTGAAGCTAGTATTTACATTATATTACACAAAACATATTTGTTTTCACCATTCATTGTTCTACCACTTAGATATCTTTGTGGTTTACTTACATAGCTTTTATGGAATTTTGTCGAACCTTCATAAATAGTTTTGAATCACAACACAAATGTAGGTAAGTATTGTAGGTACTACTAGGGCTGACACTGGTTATAACCGACGCAAGTATCGAGTTAATATTCCTAATACACGTGCAGAATATTATGTATTCAAGCGGTAAACACAAGTACTTTAACAAGAACATATTTGCTTTGGTTTGAACTTGAGACCGCCACGTGGTATACCATATATGTATTATACAATACATAGAAGAAAATACCAACAACAGGTAAATAAAATTAATTAAATACAAATCCAACTTCTTCTTAATTAACTTCAAAATACCAAGTTTCTTTTTTCTTTCGGATATCGGGTATGAATATTTTACCAAAATTCCTTAAACCCTTTCAGCCGTCTTAGCATAATTGACTATCCCAAAATAAAACTGTGAACAAACAATCTTTATACTATCCCATTAATATTAAGAACAACAATATTATCCTCTGCCTCGTTGGCCAAATGGTCGCAAGTGCGACCGGGCAAGGGGTCTCGGGTTTGATTCCCGGGTCGCGCAAAGTATTACTGGCTTTTAAAAAAAAATCTCAGTAGTAGCACGGAGCCTGGAATTGTGCCCGGTATATGGCAATAGGCCCACCCCCTATTACATGGGACTCATAACATAAATAGTGAAAAGTGGGTGTTACTTCTGTGTGCACCTCTGCCTACCCCGTTGGGGATAAAAGGCGTGATGTTATGTTATGTCATGTTCTATTATCCTCTTTAAACCAAGACTAAAAAAAAGTAACAATAGAATTACATCAACTGCCTATAAATGCCCACTGCTGAGCTAAGCCTCTACTCACACGGAAAAGGTTTGAGCATTAATCACCACGCTTGCCCAATGCGGGTTGGCGATTTCAAACTGGTCATTAGAAATTATAAGCCCAGGTTTCATTACAATGTTTTCCAGTTGTATTTGAATAATCTCAGAAAGTATGTACATATAATAGGAAAATGTCACATTGATATTTGCCGTTGGTAGGTTCCGAACCCGCACTCTCATGCATGAGAAGTCTTAAACCTCCGGGCTACCCCGACATAATACTACAATACGAAAAGTAACTATAGAATATTAGGATACATTTGTTCATTAAAGGTGCCTATAAGGTAACAAAGAGTTCCTTTATATCTATATATTTATATTCGTTCTTTCCACTTCCTAACTAAGTAACAGTTATAGCATATGAATGTCGTTAAATATCAGGCAGTAGTTTCGAGATTTACAAAATTATTTTTTTCTTACTTTTCCTGTGGGTGTCATGAGAATCGACTACCAGCCAAAATTAATAAGTAAATAATAAAAAAACAAATCAAAATATCTAAATTTATCTTTGGCATCGTTCATACCAAACGTATTGTCGGCCGCTGACTGTGAGCGCGCGTTACGCTGATTATCGCTTTTCCATAACATGTTTAACCGACTTTACGCTTTTACGTACGTAAAAGCGTAATACGTGCGGTGTCGACAGTGTGCAGACTCACGGCTGTACACCGATTTCAATAAAGAATCGAAATAAATAAATTGCTATAGCAATTCTTGATCGAAAATGAAACGCTGTGAAAGTTTTTGTACTTTCAATATTCTCACAAATATTAATACTTTAATTATGGCAGATCTACAACCCCATACAATTTTTTGTGAGCCTGGTCACTGATCTATTTTGGTTGAAGACTCTGACATGGCTAATGTCTACCAATACCACCAGGTATGAATGGGTAACTACGTATGACGTCAAAGCTTCCATGAAACATCTTAAGCAATTCCCGAGTATGTGTCTGTTATCCTCATTCTCAATATTACTTTTCCGTTACGTTTACTTTAAGTTTATAGCAAGTGACGATGACAAAAAACCCTCTCATGGCCTATTGTACTATTTAATTAATGTTATCTAGTACCATTGTAATATATAAAGGAAGTGAAATGTGATCAATCATCATTCGAAGTTTGCGCTTCTTTCAGTTAACATCAGTTAGTTGTTTTAAACGTTTACCTTTCATCATAAAACTGTTCGGACTCGTCGTGTTGGTGATGGCAGTGCTGGCCCTGCTGGGCGGCGCTAGTGCCAACCCCAACCCTAAGGGCATCGGTGGCGCCATCAGGAAGGGCGGGAAAATAATTGTGAGTAAACTTACCAATCTTACACGTGTAAAATTTTAACCCTCAAATTTTTTTATGAACACTGAGTTTTTTAGTTCCGTAACCAAGATTGTTATTCGTTGGAATTAATTTATAATTATTAATTTGCCACATTTATTATCGTTCAGGTCACAGGTCTTTCCGTTTTGATTCTTTGAATAAATCTTCTGATTTATCTTACTCGTGTCCACAGAAACACGGTCTCGGTGTGATCGGTGTCGTCGGCACCGGCCACGAAATCTATCAGCAGAACCACAACTAGGAGACGTCCACCAGATGTCAGGCTGCTTACACCTTACAGCTAACCACCGCTGCAGTATTATTCATTCCAATAGATTGTTATAGTAAAATATTGTTATCCTGTTACCATGTATTTAATAAACTGTCGATATTACTTTAGTTTTTTAATAACTTTACCTATGAAATATTACATGAAAACACGCCTTCAGTTTTGATTAGGGCTACTTAATACTTAAGTAATTTACTCCAACCAATACTTGAAATTAACAATGAGTTGTAAGGTTCATTCAGAAATGAAATAAATACTTCTTCAGCTTTTTTTTATTTCTCCGAGCATTTTCTCTGAAGTTGATCTTCAAGAAAAGTTAGCATATAGGTTACATAATTTGTAGACGTTATTGGTATCTGTCTGCATGGTCGTAAGACAAAATTATTTAGGGTTGATACAACAAATTTTAACAACATCGGGATTATTGCGTCTATATGCGAGTATACTGTAGGGTATGGAATTGAGAGGACGCAATAATTGTCCATTCTCCGTTCTTGGTAAACTGGGAAAGAGTCTTAGGAATTCATGAAAAAACGGAGTACGAATTCTTCTAACCTTAAATCGCACCACGATTAATTAGACTTATGCCAATGAGCGCTTTAAATGATAAGCTCTAACCGCAAAACTACTACGTACCCACGATGTTGTGGTTTAACTCAGCTGTGGAATAAAATCACTTACAGTCATTTGATTCATAAATAATTACGAGGTCAGCAGAATAATTTTCCGGCAATCTTAAATTGGATAGTTTTAAGTAATTCTATAGATTTGATATTATTCGTTAAGATGCACAAACCACGATGTTGATTTCAAAGGTGTAATGAAAAAAAAATTGTTTTTTTTTTTTAGAAGATAGTGGCGTGGGTGGAAAATTTTTGATGGCAAAAATTTGAAAAGAGCACATCAAGTCAACTTATAAATCACCTTTCAAAAAGTCCCCATAATCTTTCTTACATAGAAAGATTTTGGTATGCTACTAGATGACTGGTAATATGGGAGAATGAATGTCTTTGTTTTTATAATGTGGTGTGACTTAACACTTGATTTGACTTCAATTTGAAAAACTATACAAAAGGAACAGTTACACTTTCGCATAAAGATTTTTATTCCTTATTAGAGTAGATATTGGCACGAAAAACACAAAGAAATGTATTAATTCAGATGTAAACATTGTTTTTCTTCAAAAGAAGAACAATGTTATTTAATTAAAAAGTAAACTTTTGCTGTTTGACCTATTTATTGGTCGCGACCCCAGCCCTGCTGGGCACAGGAAAGAACACTTTTCTTGTAAGGAAACACACCTGACTGCTTCGTTTGATTTATTAAACATTGCAATCAAGCACAACTACGTAATACAAAGCCCAGTGATGATGATTGGAGTTGTGTTCTGAATTCACGAAAATCTTATTTTGGAGAGCCCTTAGATCTCAGAGATTAGATCTCAAACTCCTACGCCTATCATGTCACATAATATCCGTCGGAGAGTAAGAGAACACAAAATACACCTAAATTGGTACCTACCAATTTAGGTGTATCAAATTTTGATGCTGACTGTACCTACAGTCAGCATCAAAATTTGATGACCACATCCTGACAAAAAGCATACCTCATCCACTCTTCGTCTCACTGAAGTGTTTAGTGTATAAATTAAGTGGTCTGCACGTGTAAATTACCACCCTTTTATTTATTATCAACAAAATTGAACTACTTGATTCAATAAATCAATTCAATTAATAATGATTATTTGTTTCTATCGATAATCATCAAAACAACGTTTAATTTTTTATCAATTAGGTAGTCGGCTTAAACTATTTATATTAAAACCTAGTATGGCCCCCATTGGCATCGATGACATTTTAAAGACGTTCTCTCATGGACAATTTATCGACAATATGATAAACATACATATTTGCACAAGTATCTCGTCCCCTAAATTCTTCCCAGATTTCTATGGCGTCGCTTAGTACATTTTACCTTAGTCGGCTCGACCGTGGACTGGGACAATACCACGGCCTCACAGTCACAGTGGTGTTTTACCGAGTTCGTGAGAGTACCGGAGGCCAAAGTCCCCCCCCCCCCCATTAATTCCTTCCATACTAACAGACATTCTACCCCAGTTGGGGTGAACTGCGTAGTAGAATCCCTCTCTGGACGTCCATTCTCAGACCTCAACTACCCTGACCAGCTACGGCTACGATGTGGGGCATCCGCCTAGGATAACCTCGTAGTCTGGGGGGGGAGGGGGTCAATTACGCATATTACAGGAGGCAAAAGTAACATAACTATGACTTCTGTATCATCAGAGGAATACACTCCAATCTCAATGCTGTCTATCATCACCTAGAGCAAAGTCGGCCTTACTCTTTTTGACTGAGACGCAGATATCGCCTCCATTGGACATATCCTACCTCTCCTACCACGGGAATTTTTTTAAGGTGGGGAAATCATCGAATGACTTCTCCCACCTGGGTTGCTTCCTGGGCAAGGGCTCTCGGGGTCAATTTCTGGTCGGGCAAAGTATTGCTGGTTTGAAAAAAAATTACGCACGGAGTGTAGAATTGTGCGCGGTATATGACAATAGGATCACCCCCTATTACATGGGACTCATAGCATAAATAATGAAAAGTGGATGTTACATATGTGCACTATAGTACAGTGGCATTAAGTACCGTAACGTGCAGCTCTGCCAGGGGTAAAAAGCGTATGTATGTGTTATTATTTGTATCTACACAGAATACATCGCTTCTCTTTATGATCTAAAGAGAATGAACATTTTCCAATGCTAGATATAAAATATGTTACCTTTGTTAAGGTTACATGTTCAAAATCAACAGAAAACAGAAGTAGTATCAACAGTTTATTAAATACGTAATAATAAGATAACAATAAATATTTTACGAAAACAATCTATTAGAATGAATAATACTGCAGCAGTGGTTAGCTGTGAAGTGTAAGCAGCCTGACATCTGGTGGATGTCTCCTAGTTGTGGTTCTGCTGATAGATTTCGTGGCCGGTGCCGACGACACCGATCACACCGAGACCGTGTTTCTGTGGACACAAGTAAGATAAATCAGAAGATTTATTCAAACAATCAAAACGGAAAGACATTAATAAGTGTGGCAAATTAATAACCATAAATTAATTGCTACAAATAATAATCTTGGTTACGGAAAAAAATAAAAAATTATTGACGATTAAAATTTTACACGTGTAAGATTGGTAAGTTTACTTACAATTATTTTCCCACCCTTCCTGATGGCGCCACCGATGCCCTTAGGGTTGGGGTTGGCACTAGCGCCGCCCAGCAGGGCCAGCACTGCCATCACCAACACGACGAGTCCGAACAGCTTCATGATGAAAGGTAAACGTTTAAAACAACTAACTGTTGTTAACTAAAAGAAGCGCAAACTTCGAATGATGATTGGTCACATTTCACTTCCTTTATATATTACAATGGCAATAAATAACATTAATTAAATAGTACAATGCCATGAGAGGGTTTTTTGTCTTCGTCACTTACTCTAAACTTAAAGTAAACGTAACGGAAAAGTAATATTGAGAATGAGGATAACATACTTGTCATGTAATTGTTGAAGATGTTTCATTGAAGCTTTTACGTCATACGTAGTTACCCACTAATGCTTGGTAGGCATTAGGCAAGTTAGACCGCAACCGAAGTTGTTCACTGATCTATTGCGTGCCTGGTAACTGCCAGGTGTACATAGATTTTCAAATTCAAATCCTTTATTGCATCATGTGTGGGTAACAAGGTGTTATACATAATACATATTATTATGGTTAGGCAGTATTAACAGACCCTGTAAGGTCGCTGCAATTAAAAACACTACATTATTGATCATTATACATTATTAAAGTTAAAGTTTTACCACAATTGCTTCAATTGATTCTCATTTACATTTTATTTTATTGATTTGGCTTACCAACAATTGATTACACACTTATACAATATAGGGTTACATTTACGAAAACTTAAAAACTAGTGCATCAATCTATTATAGGTAAGCACAACATGCATTATATACTAAATGGTTTACAAATCACTATGATCAGAGACAGGCAAATCCAGATACATTCTACATATAACCAACCACTGAAGAAGAGATTCCAAACCTATTTAGACTTCGGTCAAAGATGACTATTGTGTACTCAATTTTAATGGAAATATTAGACAGATTGTTTGGTTTACTGTTCTATAAGCAACAAATGATTGGATATCAAGCATTTTTATTTGGTACGATTTATATCTTGGTAATTGGAATTTTACTAGAAAGAAAAACTGTTAAGTAACTTTATCGTAAGAATAATGTTACATAATCCAAAGATTTTTATCAGAGGTTTAAAGGAAAAGTTTAATGCTTTTTAAATTTATATGAGATTTTTCGATTATTCACGATTTGAAACCTAAAGAAAGATCTCAAGAGTGTGTGATATTATCTCAGTCATAAGGACTGAAAATATGGGGGCTACAATAGGGTAGTTTCCTTATTTTAATGTCCGTCTGGTACATTAATTTAAAACTTTAGACACGTATTTTTTCTTTTGTCACAAAACTTTCGACGATATATTAATTTGAAATATCATGTGACGTCACAGCGTACCACATTTTGCAGCACGTTATCACGTTACAACCTCCCACTCCTAAAATTAGCGCCATTTTATCTAATTATTGCTACTTAAAACGTGTCTAATATTTTTTCATTATCTAACTGACGGACTAATTAGATTTTTAATTTTGATACCCTGAAAACTACCCAATTCGTCCTACCACTTTTTTATTACCCAAGTCATGTGCAAGTACCGTAGATGTAGGTAGCGTAGGTATTTTAGAACGTGTTACACATTATTACAAACAAGGAAAATCACATAAACTAAGAAATCAAAATCATTTAACGGGTTTTTGCTGCGGTTATTCTTTGTAAATCCGTGCGCAACTATGTGACATGATTGTTTTTTATAAACATTCTAATATTGTTTTTTAATTAATTATAGATAAACATAACGTATCTGACTATACTTAGATTAGGTATATAAGTAGGGAGATATTGACTATATAAACTTATGTGAATAGAATAGAGTACGTAAC